TCAGAGATGAATGTATTCAATGAGTAACTGTCGTGCCCAAGAAAGTCGACGTTACCATTGTATTCGATGAATAAGATAAATATATTTTACCTGATGAAAGATAGATTTTTGTTCAACAGTGATTTCATAACTGTACAGCATTTTAATATACAGTCTCTCGAGAATTTTCCATCTATTAATATATATCTTGAAGCATAATTAGAAAATAATATTCAGCTTAACAAGAAAACAATTTTTTGACTAATTTTTATTGAAACTGTTTGTCATTTGCGCTTTTATTTCATTCAAAATAATCATTGACGTTTCGTACTCATTAACCATATATTATAGTATTTTTTAACTGAAGTTCTCATAATTGTCCGAAAAAAAATAGAAGATGTTCAAAATTTATTCTATAGGGTGGGTGTGGGTATTCTTCTGATCTACCATCACATTAGAACAAACAGTCACACCTCACACCACACCACACCCACAACCCACACCCACACCCACGCCCACACCCACAACCCACACCCACACCCACACTCCACACCCACACGCACACGCACACCCACCCACATCTACACCCACACCCACGCCCACACTCACAACCCACACCCACACCCACACCCAACACCCACCCACACCGACACGCACATCCTAGACTTCTAGGTAAGCGATTATTTTAATATGAATTAATTCTCCTTTTTTATATCCAGATTAATCCAAAGAATGATTTTATAGGTATGTTGTTATTTTAAAATAATGTAATTCTTGTCTTCTGTATTTAGGATGAACCAAAGAAGAGATTTATAGGTAAGTTATTATTTTTATATGAATAAACCCTATTATTTTAGATTTAGGATAATCAAAAAAAAAACTTTGATCGGTAAGACAACTACTTCAATATAAACTAATTCTGTTTCCTTTCGTTTAGATAGTCGCAACATTAACTCCATCACTGGATTGGTTTCAAAGATTTAAATGGTGTTCTTGTATATAGAGAAACTCAAAGGAGAATTGCATCTTTTTTTTTATCTTATGAAAGAAATCATGAGAATAAGTTGTTAAATGATACCGTATACATCAAGTAACAGTGATGCAATTCTCATGCTGATTTTATAAGAAGAAATCTTAAATCTTCACAGCCTTTTTAGAGAATTGTATTGTGGAGAACGGAATATACGATGAGTGGTCTATACCAAGACTTAGTTTGATATTAAAGCTGTTTTCAGAGTAGAAGACAGTATCGAATAGAACGTTCGGGAAGCAGGAGACCGTATAGTAGTAAGTGTCGGTTACGAAACCCTTTTTCTCATCCTTGAGATATAGACCTGTACGAAACCATTTTTTGTGCAGTTTTCAAAATGATGTGATACAAAACCTTGGTCATACGAAACCAATAAAGGGTTTCGAATTCGTTGCAAAGTGCGAAATCCTTTCTTAGTTTCGTATAAAAGCTTTTTTGTTTTCAGTGCAGGTTTTGATTCACTCCTGATTTTTGTGCTCAAAGTTTGCGAAATAATAGAGAAAAAATGCGGAAACTTCGGATTTAAATCCGAGAGTTATGTGTACTTCAAAAAGTGAATCATACAAATCAATCATCCTAGACTGTCTGAATGTCAAAATTATACTGTGAAATCTACCATTTATAATGTTGATTTCTATTGCGCGTTGCCAAACCAATAGGACATGGGACCGAATACAGCTCAAGTCTGAACTTTTTCCCTTGATTTACCCTAAGAAAGTCGTTTTTCCTATAACTTCATTTCTATTGGTCACTGCACAACTAATAGTATTTCGATGGAAGTGCAGTACACATTCGAGTTCTCCATCTCTGAAAACCTCGAAGTATCATCAGTGTGACCGGAAGATAAAGCTCTATTTGTGGATCAATTAGATTGTGGACCAAAATATAACCTAGTTCTCTTTAATTATCCTTGTCATTGCTAAGTCAACCTTCTTGTTTCTTTATGTTTTATATATCATTTTGTAGCTCTTGAAATTCTCTATCGAATGGTATATAACAGTTGGGGTTTTAATTGACTATGATAGGAAAAGTCTTTTACGAAAGTCGCGATGGGTCCATTTTTCCACAGAAAGCTATAGGGAAAAATGGGTATTTTTACAATAACTCAGGAACGGCTCGGCCGATCCTTCTCATCTTCGAACTCGACCGAGACATTGTCAAGACTAAGCTGTGTAGAAAGTTTCATCGCAATCTGACTCTGTCGTCAAAAGTTATCATGTAAACAGCCAACCGGACGGACGGACACACTGACTATTCTATAGTGTACTCACTTTTTGAGTACACAAAACTATGATTCAGTTCAAAACTAATATCAGATTCAGAATCAGCGTTAAAAACTGAGTCGATTTATATATTTTGTGAATAATTATGAGCAAAAAAGTTTTTTTCGAAAAATCCCCGTACCCCTCCTCAGGGATGGTCTGGTCAAAAATCACAATTTTTTCGATAACTCAGCCATTTCTTGGCGGATCCTTTTCATCTTCGAACTCGACCGAGATATTGTCAAGACTAAGCTGTGTAGAAAATTTCATCGCAATCTGACTCTCCTTTCGAAAGTTATCGTGTTAACGGCCGGACGGCCGGACGGACGGACACACAGACCGATTTTAGTAGTGTACTCACTTTTTGAGTACACTAAAAAGTACTTATTCGTTTTATTTATCATTTAGTTGTTTATCAATAGTAAATCGAGTGATCTTCCTCGATGTATTTTTCTCATATATTCGTTATTTTTTCTTCTTTCAGGAAACTATATGAAAGATGAACGTGTAGCCGGATGTGTTCATGGTGGTTTAGATGCTGACTTGAGCATTTGCGGAGCTTTTTCGGAATATGTGGTTCAAGACGCATCATTGGTTTTCCGTTATCCTGCAACCATGTGTCCTGAATCAGCTGCTACAATTACATTGGCTAATATTACTGCAGCTCTTGGTCTCTTTCACGAAATGGGTTTACCTTTTCCTCCTGCTAATTCCGGCAAAACTATTCTCGTTTGGGGAGGTAGCACAAGTGTTGGTCAATAAGTAATGCAATTGGTGAAATCATCTGGCTGTTGTGTTATTGCAACAGTATCACCTGCTCGTCATGCTTATTTGAAGGAATTAGGTGCTGATGTTTGCTTTTGATTATAATGATCCTAATGTAGTCTCGCAAATTAAAGAAGCAGCAAAAAATAATTTGTCTTATGCTATCGATTGTATCTCGGAAAAACGGTTCAACTACACAAGTATGCACAACATTTACTGGTTCAAATGCATAAATCGTAACTGTTCTACCTGGTGTATCAAAAGAAGTTCCATGTCATATAAAAGAATGCAGCGTTATGATGTATACAATATTCGGACGTAAAATGCACGTCTTTGGTCAAGATAATCAAGCTAAACCTCAAGATAAAGCATTTGCTGAGAAATTTTATTTGCAACTCACCAATGTTTTATTACCTACGGGTCTTGTTAAGCCAAACAGAGTGACGAAGGTCGCCGGTGGACTTAATGGAGTTGAAGAAGGATTTCAAAGAATGATGGACAAAAAAATAGCAGCCGAAAAATTCGTCTAAACTATGGCCGAGACAAGCAAGCCACAAATATGAATTCTATTTTTTCTTTCACAAAAAAATTAATTTTTTTTTTTGAATAGTCTTTATGTTGTGTATACTGCATGCATCTAGTTAAAAACAAGAGAAAAAAAAAGAATGTCGTACAGCTGTTAATAAAATTGAACCATTATCTAGGTCCATTTTTAGTGAAATTTTTGTCTTCAAGTAATTAACGAATCAAGGATTAAGAAAAACATGAGAAGAATGTGTGAATGGGAGTGGAAAGATATGGTTGTGAGGTTTGGTGGGAGTCGATGGTTTATTTTCTTATTACTCACATCCAGACCCACACTCTCAAGTATAGACATGATACTGTCATTTGTGATAGATAAAAGTCTCTTTCATGTTCAATTCTGCCCATTTTCGATAACTATTCTATAAGAAAAACTGGTTATTCTTACAAATCTTACACAAATGAAAAAATGGTACTGCTCTGATAGCAGGAAAGGGCACAAAAATGAGAAAGCTTGATTCTTCCATTTTTGCACACCTAAACGAAAGCAACTAAGATATTCATATTAGTGTTAGATCGTGCACATAGAATGACGATCTAAGACGAAAAAGAAAATAACATCGTCTCTTCTAGTCTAACTGGCTTAGGACATCTGCCCGGATAGCAGAAGGTGTGGGTTCGAGCCCCACGAGGAGCGCATCTTTTTCGTTCTGTCATTGTATCATCGCCTCCTTTCGACCGTGTATGTAACTATTAGAGATATTCATAAAGATCTCTATCGAATAGAATGGTTTTAAACTTGTGCATAAAGAGAACACTCAAATATGTTCCCTTGTATGATCGAATTCGTTAGAAATGTTGCCGTAAAAATGAGTAAACCGTGATTTCGAATAGTGGCGTTCAGAGAGGGTGTGGGTGTGGATGGCTTATTTAATTCTTACTCACACCCACATCGGAGAATGTTTTCAAAGAAAAAGATATACTTTATCCGATTTGTTGAAGACTTACCTATAAAAAAACAAAACTTTGACGACAATATTTTTTCAAGTGTTTCGTATGACAAAGTTCTATCGCTCACAAAGAAAACAGTCAACTCGATTAGTCCTCCGTACTCCACGGTGAAATGAAAGGTAATGCAGATTACTATCAAGGATACATATGTTATTTCAAATTTGCTGATAATAGTAACTTTTGAGTTTCATACACGATGGGTGAAGATTTTGAGGTGCACTTGCTCTTCAGATATACAAACTTCTTCGAAGTCATTAGTTGTCGATTTCATAATTGTAAATCAATAATGAGCTTCGTTTAGAGCTCAAGAATTTGTTAATTTGTAAATCATAAAATGGTACAAAAAAAAAGATGTAGATAATTTAAAGAAAAATGTTTAATACAACATAAGTAAACAAACATGCACAGTCATTTATTTGTTCTCATTTTTTAACACAAGTATTTGACCAGCATGACTAATACTGACAGTCCCAGGCGTCAGAAGATAGAATGGTTCGCCATCTATTTCTGCTGTCATTGGATAAAGAAGTTCAATACGCAGTTGTTTGCATTGAGCAATTCGATTGCCACGAAAACCAACATGGACAGTAATCATTTGTTTAGTATTCAATCCGATAACTTCAATTTTTCGATCGCCAAAATTTTGTGGTTGAAAGCGACTACTTGAAACTGTTTGATCCATATCACTATCGTTCGAACATTCTAATTTGTTGTTTTCTTGAGTATCATCCGAATAATTTAATGCATCTAGTGAATTCATCAATATTTCATTGATGAAAGTACTATGTAGTGGAAGAGTTGATAATTGATTGACACAATCTACTATTGACTTTCTCAATGATTTTCCCCATGGATTTGTGCCACCTGCATAGCTTGGAATGTTCATTATGATCAATGTGTGACAATTATGTACCTTATCAGTAATATCTTGATCATCACATATCAAACGAATATAAGACCCTAAATTCCACATCCGAGCCCGAGCAAAATCATCGAAATATTTGCAACTTTCGTTCACATACATGATTTTATTTTTCAATGGTGACGAAAATTTTGATGGATCATGTGTACGTTCAGCATGAAACTCAAGCATAATAGCAGCATCTAAGCCAAAGCTGATACAGCCAACAAAGTGTGTGTTCGGCAATCCCTGATGGTTTTTATAGGAGGATCGATTGGTTTCTCGAATGAATTTAGGAGAATCGGGCAATGGCTGAAGTATTCGACTGATTTTGAAAACGCTTTTATCATGTTGTTCTGTCATCGAATCTAATGTTATCTCATCAATTTTTTCAAAATGAACTTCCCAACGATCAAGCACAATAACTTGAGCTTGTGAGGTCTGTAGAAGTGTATGAAAAAGACGTTTCGGATCGTATTGTTCACCCCAAGCCAAGACACGTGAAAGATCATTGCCTGTTCCCAACGGACAAATGCTTACTGGAGGATTATTTCGTAATGGATAGGCCTCGGCTAGAC